CCACACGGGGTGTTCCCAAAAAAAAATTTTTAAAAAAAAAAAAAAAAAAAAGGATTCAGAGACATTAAGTAACTTAAATGTCAGACAGAAAGTCCAAATAAAATAAGGAAGACACAGTTTTGGGTTTTGTGACATGTCAGGAAAGAGACGTTTACTTTTCAAAATAAAACAATTTGCATAATATATTGTGGAGATAGATAATGTTTGTTTTCGCTTTATTGGAGGAGTGGGCACATATTAGGTTTCTGATTGCTGCCTTTAAGGAGAAAAATTAGAAAATTAAGTCTTTTTAGTGTTGCATAACTGGTTAACTTGTGTTTTGGCTCATGAAACTTTACATCAGTTGAAGAATATGTATGTGTTTGTTTCTGTTTGAAGAATATTGCATTTATGGGGGCTTGCAGGTGGCATTGTGGTTAAGGGTGCTGGACACCCACGTGGCTGACTGAATTTGAGTCCCAGCCTTGGTGGTTTGCTTTTACTTCTCTCTCTGTCTCCCTCTCTGATCAGATTAAAAATAAATAAGTAAATAAAGTAAAATAAAATAATTCTTTAAAAAAGAATATTGGGTTTGGACATTATGTCATTGTACTTTTAAGAGAACACAAAGAAAAATATATATTCTTGCTAGAATATTGGGTTTGAACATTATGTCATTGTATTTTTAAGAGAACACACAGAAAAATATATATTCTTGCTTAATGGTACTTACTAGAAAAACTTGTCCCATATTAGAAACTCAGAATGGGACTGCTTTTATTAGCTATTCAAAAATCCCCTATAACTGATACATCAATAAGAAAAAAATAGTTTTTAGAAACAAAAAAAGTTCAATATTTAATCTTGGCCACAAGGTAGCAGTGTTACCCAGTTTAGGAACTGAAAGTCTAAATGAGACATATTGTAACCTTGATTATATTTCATAAAAGTGTACGTATTTTTCAGAATTGAGGTTTTCTTCTAGATAATATCAGCAAATTTCTAAAAATCTAACTTAATCTAAACATACTCTTTTATTAGAGATCTGGTCAAGGTAGTGAGTTTTGTAAGCAAAGAACTGCCAAATTCTGTCTTTAAAAGTTTGAAATGTACATGAATTGTCCTCTCTACCACAATGTTTTTTTTTAATTAATATGACTTATTAACATCCTCACAGGTATAAAAATATAGACATATTTATGCATTTAAACTTGAATGACTATAATACATAAAATCCCTTCTTTTTTGAAGATACTAAATAAATTCCAATATTCTGATTTCTGACTCCAGCTTGGTTTCATCTAAATGAATACTTAACAATTGAGAAAGGCATTTGTATATTTTTCTATAGTAACCAGAGTTTAAATTTGTAAGAATCTCTCCATACCTCACAGACACGTTTTTCCTGTACATTGTAAGTTCATAGACTTTTTCTTTTTTTCCTTCCATGAGCTGTAAAAAGGAAGGCAGGGACCAGAAGGAAGGAAGCGAGAAAGCAGACTAAAACAACTGACAATGGGTATAAGTTAGTCTTCCCCTGTTTCATAGCATTCCATATAACATTTTAAAATCATTTAACAAATATTTATTATATGCCAAACATGTGCCACACTGAGGCCCCTTTGAACATTTTATCAAGCACTAGGTGCTATGGCAAATGCTGCACATATATAATCCTATTTAACCCTCAAAATGAGCTAGACATAGTTGATCCTGATTTTATAGATAAGGAAATTGAGGCTGAGGGAAGTTATCCTGACCAAGATTACACAACTTGTAAGTGGATGAACCTGGATTCAAACCCTGGGCCAGTGTGACTCCAAAGTCCACTGCTCTGAACCAGATGCTGAGTTACTTCACAACTTCCATGTGTTTTCATGTATTTAACCAATCCCATGTTTGATGTATATTTTGTTTGCAATATTCTATCAAACAGTGTTCTAGTGAACATACTTGTATAATACATGTTAAAATAAATATCACTTTAAATATTTCCTGAAAACCCTGAAGGTTTTTTTGGCGAAATAGCAGTAGGTGAAGCCCAGACAAAATCTTTATTTAAGATCCTTAAATACCTTTAATTTGATATGTAGGACATTTAGGTAAAGAAATCCCTCAATATACAAGTTTCAGCACATACCCAGGGAGTATGAAATTAAGACATTCTTTTCATTTTAGAAAGAAATCTGTTTTTATTTTAATTCCTCAAATATTTTAAGGAGAATCAGAGGGAATTTATAGCAAATTGCTGTCCTTAAAAGGGGTTTTGAATATCATTAGTAGCAATTAACACCTAAAATTTCTAGTTTTTGTTTTTCATTTCATTTAATAACAAAAAATCAGGTTTAGTGTATGATTAAGGAAATTATTAAAAAACCAAAAGGAAAAAAATAGAATAGAATAATTCAAGAAACATTGATGAAAAAATTTGTCTCCACCTTTATTCTTAATTTTTAAGAAATTTAATGTAACTTAAGTCCTGCTTTTCTCCCCTTCATATCAAGTTCTTTTAAAAGTGTATAATAACCCAACTAAATATTATTATGATGTTCCTTTTATAGTCTCTTCAAATATTCCTGCTCCTATGCTAGTACTCTGGGAAATCCTCTCTCTGGGGTGTGGTTGAGGTGAAGCAGGATGCTATGACTGTGGCCCCAGAGGGATTGTGTATTTTCTTCCTCTTATTTGTACTCACTAATCTTACTAACCTTGCACCATTATTTATTGTTTTTCTGAAATGTTGCCAGTTCAAAAGGAAATCCCAGCTCCAAAAGAGAATGCCAGTCTTTTTCCACCTCCAATCAACTATAAATATTCTTGGAGAAAATGAGAGGAAAATGAAAAGATCTCCAGAGAAATATAATTCTGGAATGAAAGAAGACCAAAAAGGCTAAAACAGTTGATGAAACTGATCATTTCATTTACTTTCAGATTATTAGGAAGCATCCAATATAGTGGAAAGCAGAGTTAAAGGAAGCGTGTTTTCAGAAACTGAGTTTATATCAATGATGTTTGATGAAAGAGTTCTGCTTCATTTGAACTTTGGAACTAAAAAAAAAATCACAGTAATAAACTGTCTTCTGTAATATCATTAGCTATTATGGAAGTTTATTATTGTGAATATTGTACTTAGTTAATAAGTACTCACAGATGCTAGTTTTATTGCATATACTCTAACACATGCTCCTTTTCTTCTATGAGCCTATCACAAAAAAAAATTTTAGAGTTATTCTTGATAGAGAGGGTAAAGACAAATAGGTCCTATTTAAGTTGACTCTGGGCCCTGTGGATCATCACTGATTTGGTGGTAATACTCTCA